TTTACCGCTACATTTGCGCTGGATTCCCGAAAGGAAATTGGAACACAATCATTAGCAAGCGATCCATGATTTCAGGACTCAGCGTTTCATCGATGGCTAGTTTAAGTTCGTTTCATTCTTTCATCGTTAAATAAGAACTCATCGTAAACAACTCCGTCGTTGGGTCCTTGATTTCCACCTGGTTTTCCCATAACTCCGTTCAAAAGAGATGTACCGTACTGTCAGGGAAAAACCACGACGATTTCCAAAGCATACTTATAAATTTATGAAGAAATATCAGTATCCTAATCTCAGCTCTTTAAAGATCGCCATTTTCGGTTTCACGAATAACTTTAAGGACAACGAATTATCTTCTTTGAGAGTTCTGCGACTAGCGAAAACAAAGGATGATTATAGTTACGTATGAAGTACGATCTTAATATGAATCTACACGGATTAATCTTTATAATTATTCCATTCCAAGTAAGTCTCGTGTCTGTTGTGTAGCTGTCATTTCGTTTCGCGCCACTAGATTTCAGCACTATTCAATTTCAAATGCTGCATTGACGTCTCATTGGAACAACTCCTTTGTCACTTCTGAAAGACAACGGGGCAACGTTCTTGCCGGTATTTATTTCTGCCTACGCTGTTGTCAACTGACGTTTGTATCCTCTTGGTAAATCTCTCTAATCAAACTATTATCTGACGTCGCTCACTTCAATCGAATATTCGAAATATCCCCAATTTCCGCATGAGTCATTGGAATCATAGATAATTGGTTGAGTATACTCCAGATGACATTATTTTGACCGTTTCTATTTTGATGAAACTAAAAAGGAAAGCGCGGTAGAAAAAGAGAAACGAGAAACTTGATAAATATTCAAATCAAACATTAAGACATGCCTGAACATTTCCATGATGCGTTAGAAAACGCGGTTTATTTAATCTTGGATCCTTGGTTTATTTGTATCATAAATCCTTGGACTACTCAGAGAACACCTCCTTGTTTAAGATCTCAATTAAATCTCGATGTTCTACTTTCTATAATGCAAAAAGAAAACTAAACGTCAAAATCGTGGTTCTGAACAAGGCGACATAATCAAAGCTTCTCCCTGGCCTTTAATTAAGCAGTGTAAATGTGTGAACGATGTAAACTTGAAAGATGAAACTAACTTTTGCATCGCACAGATGAATGAATAAACATCAGAAAAAATATGAACTAATCTACTATTTTCGATGACGAAACGGATCTTTCCTTGCGCTCTCACTCTAAAATGAACTTACCTCGAAACATCAATACTAGTTAACGAAGGCAAGTTACATCGTATTCAGGGTAAAAACATAAATCACATTGCTAAGCTCTTACCTAATGTTGTCGATAAAAGACTAAAAACCAACAGAGAGAGAAAGAGAAAAGTCGTTCCCATCGTCCTTTAACTTGTAGTTAAACGTAGGTAAAACTCGGAGGCTTTTCGAACTATATACCCCATCGTGCGCTTACTGCGGATTGGGACTGCACAGTGGGTTTTTTTCCGCATGACGTCATACCCACGCACCCCTTCCCAAAATCCTCAGGCAATAGATAATGACAGCGTCTGGTTCCCTAGCGTACACCCTGTGCGTGTTCTAAATTTCTTGTATTGAGAAACGCCTATAATTTAGAGAACAAGGGCCAAAACAAGCCAAATTTATGCAAAAGCATAGCGAAAACAACGATTTCTGCCATCAAAAAAGCTTCTGCAAACAAGGATTTTAATCTTTGTAATCACTTAGGACTGGGAACTAGTTTAGTCGAGTGTTTTAGTCAATAAGGTATATGGAAATACCTTTTACTCAACTACAATACAATTCCGAGAAAAGGATATACTTCTGGGAACAATGTGAAACCGGTTAAACCGGAAATTTCCAGAATCTTTGCTTTTTTAAGCTGAACCGAAGCTGAAGTTGAACACAAAGAAGTCAATCTCTCGAGACCATGGTTACGTTCATTAATGGTGTTCAACAAAGTTTAAGCGTCCTTATGTTAAGCCAACTCATTTGCTCAGCACCAGGTATATTTTTTTATTTTGGTTCTATTTTCGTCTCTTAATTTTTCTTTCTCCTTTTCTTATTTTTTTCCTTTTTTTCTTTTTCAACAAATATTCATTATTCAAGGAAACGAAA